TGTATTTTGAAACAGCTTTTGTTCCCTAAAGACTGTTAGAGTTTTGGTGTTGCATTTCTGCCGTTAGCTGGTATTTCCATTTACCAGTTTGTTTCTTTCCTTTTCAAATAAGTTATATGTAGTTTTCAACTTGCCTTTAGACTTTGTTCCAAAAGTTTCCTCAAAAGATGATCACTCACTCACCAGCTCCTCTCCAAAGTGGGTGATTTGTTTCAGAGAACCTTGAACCACTTTCTTATAACTTAAACCCATCAACTACTGGGGCAGGCATGTGCCTCAGTTGTTGGGTGACTGCTTAGGGTGCCTGCATCTCGTATTGGATGGAGAGGGGGCTCCAACACCTGGCTCTTCTACTTCTAATCCTGCTTCCTGCTAATGGGCACCCCTGAAGACAGTAGGTCACGATTCATGTACTTAGATCCCTGCCACCCTGGGGAGAGACCCAGATGGAGCTCCTGGTTTTGACCTGGCCCTGCCCTGGCTGTTGGCGAAATTTTTGGAACAAGCCAGCAGATGAAAGATTTCTCCCTCTCTCTGTGTCTCTGCCAGTCTTCCAAATAAAATTAAATAAATTAAAAAAAATATTAAAAGGGACTTTGGATAGTCTCGTCAGCACCTGACAAGATTGTAATTGCATGTCCCTTACTCTCTCTCTACCCCAAGACCCATTGTCAGTTTGCTGTTCCACGGGTACTTTGAAGACAGCTGACCTGAATCAGTATCTGTCCTTTCTTCTCCCCATCTTTCTGTGCTTCCTGCCTGTTTCACGATATCAACACATAACATCTCAGTAAGGTCAAATCCTTGGAGGCAGACTTCATGCTTTCTCATTGCGTCCTTAGAGATGTTAAATCAATACAGAGCTCCACTAATTCCAACTCAGAAGCTCTACCTTAGCTCCGTCCACTCTGTTCTAGCACCTGAAGCACTGCCTCGGTCATCATGTCCCACTGCCTGTTACAGTCACTTCTCACGTGGCCTCACTGGCTCCTCCTCTTTGTCCATTGGCTGCTGTTTACATTAACAGCCCTCATCTGCCAGGTTGCCACAGACACAATGCTCCTATTAGATACCTCTCTATGGGCCACACAGATTGGAGAAATAAACATTTAGTGAAGAAGTTCAGTATTTTAAGGATTTGTACAGTAACCCTGCAGAGCTTTGCATGATTTTGTCCCTCTCCTTATCTTTTAAAAATTAATTAATTAAATTTAGAGAGACAGGCCGACAGGGAGAGCCAAATGCCTTTTCCTGCCTCTTACCTTGTCTCATACTGCTCCCTCTCATTCATGAACCCCATGGCTCTTGCCTGCTGCTTCTCACACTATTTTCTCCTGTTCCCCCATGCTTTTAATCTCAACTAAATTATTCCACTTCAGGGTAACTTTCTCTACACATTCAATCTAAATTAATTTTTAAACAGATTATCTCTTAATGTCATTTCCATGAATTTTTAAGAAATATTTACTTATTTGAAAGAGTTACACAGAGAGAGAAGGAGAGGCAGAGAAAGAGAAAGAGGTCTGAGTCGGCGCCGTGGCTCAATAGGCTAATCCTCCACCTTGCGGCGCCGGCACACCGGGTTCTAGTCCCGGTTGGGGTGCCGGATTCTGTCCCGGTTCCCCCTCTTCCAGGCCAGCTCTCTGCTATGGCCAGGGAGTGCAGTGGAGGATGGCCCAGGTGCTTGGGCCCTGCACCCCATGGGAGACCAGGAAAAGCACCTGGATCCTGGCTCCTGCCATCGATCAGCGCGGTGCGCCGGCTGCAGCGGCGGCCATTGGAGGGTGAACCAACGGCAAAGGAAGACCTTTCTCTCTCTGTCTGTCTCTCTCACTCTCCACTCTGCCTGTCAAAAATAAAAAAAAAAAATTAAAAAAAAAAAAAGAGAAAGAGGTCTTCCATCCGCTGGTTCACTCACCAGTTGGCCTAAACAGCTGGAGCTGTGCTGATCCGAAACCAGGAGCCAGAAGCTTCCTCTGGGTCTCCTGCATGAGTGTGGGGGCCCAAGGACCTGAGCCATCTTCTACTGCTTTCCCAGGCCATAGCAGAGAGAAGGATTGGAAGTGGAGCAGCTGGGACTCTAACCGGTGTTCATATGGGATGACAGCACTGCAGGTGGTGGCTTTACCTGGTACGCCACAGTGCTAGCCCCTCCATGAACTTTTTAGAAAACATTTTATTTAGTTGAAAGGCAGACTTATAGAGAGGGAGAATAGGTTAAAGCGAGCAAAAGAGAGATCTTCTGTCTTCTTTTATACTTCCCAAGTAGCTACAGTGGCTGGGGCTGAGCCATGCTGAAACCAGGAGCCACGAACTTCATCCAAGTCTCCCACAAGTGTAGCAGGGGTCCAAGTACTTGGGCCATCTTTTGCTGCCTTTGCAGGCACATTAGCAGGGAGCTAGAACAGAAGCAGAATAGTTGGAACTTGAAGCGGCACTCCAATATGAGGTGCAAGCATTGCAAGTGGTGGCATAACCCGCTGTGCCACAACCCTGGTCCCTATATTCAATGACTGGGGCAGGCCTTTGGTGCAGCTGTTAAATTGCTGCTTGGGATGTCCAGGTTCCCTGTCAGAGTTCCTGATTTGAGTTCTGGCTATTTTGCTTCTGATTCATCTTTCTTCTAACACATCCTGGGAGGTGGCAGGTGACGGCTCAGGTACTTAGGTCCCTGCCACTCAGGTAGCAGACCCTGATCAGTGTAGAACTGGCCCAGCCCCAACAATGTGGACATTTGGGGAGTCAACTATTAGATGGAAGGATTATCTCTATCTGCCTCTCTGCCATTAAAATAATAAAGTGAACATAAATAAATAGAAATTAAATTTCTTGCTCTTCCTCATTGGGTTTGTCATAATTTATAATTATATTATTATATATCTTGTGTTAGGCTTAGCTCACCACATTTATAAACTTTCTGAAGGCAGAGACCGTGTCTGTTTTATTACCATTGTGTCCACAGCTCCCACACGGGACTTGACAAATAAAATATTTACTGAGTGAATGAAGCAATCATCACAGCTGTTAAAGCAGACTAGCTAACTACAGGCAGTAGCATGACCCTGTGGAGTACGAGCAATTGCTACCCCTGAAGAACCTATTGTGAGGTTGTTGCAGGAATGATTTTGAGTGTTCCCTAATATAAGAAAAATCAGCCTGCTGTCCTTTATCCCAGGCTGGTTACACATTGCTGCCATAGATGTTAGTTCTGATCACACACAATGGAGATGCATGTTCTGGCTCCCTGACCTTTCTTCTTTGTGTGTCTACCTGAGTGTTATTGCTAAAGCATAAAGCTGATCATGCAATTCTCCTACTTAGGAACTTATAATGGGTTACTATTGTTTCAGGATAAAATTCAAATTATTTGATTTCCTAGTAAGTTACAGCTAAGTTGCTGTAACAAATTACCATAGACTGGTTGGCTTATAAATCACTAAAATGCATTCTTCACAGTTCTGGAGTTTGGAAGTCCAAGATTAGGGTGACAGCATGGTTGGATTCTGGTGAGGAGGGCCTGCCTCTTGGTTCCCAGCTTTCTTTATGCTGTGTCTTTACCTGGCAGACAGTGTGAGGGCCGTCCTTGGGCTATTTTCATTTTCAAATAAGGGTACTAATTCTGTTCATAAGGGTGCCAGCCTATGATCTAGTCATCTTCCAACCACTTTACCTCCTGATACCCTTGCAACAGATTAGGTGTCAACATGTGAACATTTGGACTGTAGAGTTTGGCATGTCTAACAAAGTCATTCTCATTCTGGACCTGGTCATTCTTTCCAAACTTAATCCTAGTTTGTGTGTACATAGTTCATGGTCAAGCTAGGTTCCTTCATACCCTTGATGTGCCTAGGAATGTCCCTATTTGCTCCCCAGGTGGATGCATATTTGCTTTTGAAATCCAGCTCTCTGGAGCACATAGGTTACTCCTTCCTCTGTGCACCCATTGCGTGGTATACTGTCAGTTTTATAATATATCCTGTATTCCATAATTTATTAGAATGCCTATCTCCCAGACAGGAATGCTTCTCCTGGCTTAGACATTGCCAGAGTCCACCCCGATGGCATCTAGGTGTAATTTGGTGACAGATATATTGCCAGTTGTTTGGGAGTAAAAATGCCTTTGCTTACTGAAGCAAAGCTAGAACTGGTGATTTAATTCTCTGCTGACTCCAAAAAGACTGTTTCAAACAACCATAATGCAATTGGAACTTATTGTTAATATTGCTCTTTCTTCTAATGTCAGAGATCCTTGTCTGTTTCACTGCAACTGGGAAAACATCTTTTTTTGCCTCCTAACCCAGCCCAGAGGCAGGGATCCAGTGTAAACTTTTCTCTGAGGCCCCTCATTGTCTTAGGAGGAGAGGCGGAAGAAGAACCACCCTCCCCCATGATAGTAAGATTGGATTTCTGTCACTCTGATTTCTAAAGTAGAGACATACGTCAACTGAGGGTTGGCATTTTTGGGATGTGCCTGTGCCTCAGATAATCTTGAAGACCACTTGTCTCGTAACAACACATCGTTATGTTGATGCATGAGAATCCTGCTGCAATGCTATTAGCTATAAAATGAAATTAACTTTAAAGAAGGTCCACTGATAAATGAAAGTAGTGAAAGGACCTTGCTGCTTACTAGAGGTCTCATCTAAAAGACATACTCCTGTGTTTTATTCGGTTACTTCTCCTTTAGTTCGTGTTAAATAAATCAAAATAGCCCTTCTTCTTTCCGTGACTCATACATTTATATACCTTGCTTTATACTAAGATTAAGTTTGGAAAAAAGCAAATCCAGGCAATATTAATTAAAGTCACTGATGTCACTTACTTGTGCATATGTTATAATGGAAGCAAACAGGTATTCTTTTAATTAGATGGGAATGACAAATGTTTTGAGAAATAGTATCCTATCCTGAATCATGTGCTTTTGTAAGTAGTTAATCTCATTAAATGTTCAATTAAATAAGTGCTGTTTCTGAATCACTTTTTTTTTTCCGTAAAAATAGGTGGTGTTTGCATTGCTCAGTCACAGAAAATCCCACGTGAACCAAGACCTGGGGAGTTTGAAAAAATCATCAAACGCCTGCTGGAAACACCTAATGCTCGAGCAGTGATCATGTTTGCCAATGAGGATGACATCAGGTGCTGGTTACTTGGCTCTCTGTAGGATCAGATTGAACCACATTCATTTTAACATACTTCATGTTCAGTGAAAAATCTTAGGAGATTTCGCAGGAATTGCAAATTCCGCGTGTAATTGAGACAGCCTTGCAGTTTCTAAGTCTGAAACACCTACAGAGTAAAACCTGGGTCCTGAATGAGATGAGACAAATGAGGATGATAGAAAGATGTGAATGGGGTTAAGGGCAAGGCTAATTAACATGTGCTGGAGTTAAAGTCTCTGTCGTGTTTCCTTTAGAAGTCAGTAAGATTCAGGCTGTTAGAATGATTGACTAATTGTATAACAGTGACCTTCTGAGTATAGAAAACTTCATAAAGCTGGTCTTGTGGCATTCATAATTGTGGTGTTCCTTGGTAATGTATATGCTTTATTTGTTTTTATTTCAATAGGAGGATATTGGAAGCAGCAAAAAAATTAAACCAAAGTGGTCATTTTCTCTGGATTGGCTCAGATAGTTGGGGATCCAAAATAGCACCTGTCTATCAGCAGGAGGAGATTGCAGAAGGGGCGGTGACCATCTTGCCCAAAAGAGCCTCAATTGATGGTAAGGATGCACCAAAGAGAATTTGTTTCCAGTTGAATAAAAACTCAACAGCAAAAACTCAATGACAGAGTATTAGAACATGATGAAAGGCATCCATTATTGATGATTCTGGATAGAATTTTTGCTCTGATGGCAGAATTGTCATAATAGTAACTAACCCAACACATTATATATATATGCATGCATGTAAACATATGTATATATGTAAAATAGATATGTATATATAACATACGGTATATATAATATATATAAATGTATATTTAATGTTTTTGAGATGTATTTTTAGAATATGTTGTTATCATTAGATTATTTAAATACCGAAACTTGTAGTCAATTTTCTTTTCACAATGGCTGTAATGTCACTGTAAATTTGCTTATTATTTATTTTATTGATTATTATATATTGGGCAGATATGATGGTTTAGCATTCTTGGAAAGAAAGGGCTTGATTTATAAGCAATCAATACAAAGCTGGACTGACACTTTGGATTAATAAATACAAAGATTTGGATCATTAGGGAAAGACAGTCTTTCTCCCAAGTATCTTTTCCAACGCTCATTGCAGTGACTGAATTCCTACCTTCAGCATTATCCTTTGGAGTGTGACATTACTTCCAGGCAGTCCCCCTTCAATGTGGTGCTTATCTGGGCAAATTGACATTTTAGTCATTACCCATGACTCCATGAGATTGTATTAGCATTTTGCCCTATTGAATTAACTGAAAATGTAACACACAGAAGAGAAATTTCAAGAAACATGGGAAAGCTGTTATTTCATTCTAGAAGAGAGAGAGAGAGGGGATATAGAAAAAGGCTGAGTCGGATTCCAAATACTCAGGATTCAGCATGAGGTCAGTGGGAAGCTCTGGGTGCTGTAGAGTAGGAGATGTTGTAATGATGGCACCAATGCGTTCATCCCTAGAGGCAGGCAGTAGGTGGAGGGGGTAGCGACACCATCCACCACTCTTCCCCAGCTTTTGCTCTAGGGAATCTTTATTTCTGAGTGACAGGCTCTCCTTCATTTATCATCTACTTATATAGAGTTTTTATGCAATGATTACAACATAATATCTACTCAAAAGTGATGGTCACACTCAGTTTTGATTCTGAAGGATATTAAAGCAACATTTTTTCTTTAAAATAGGATTTGATCGATACTTTAGAAGCCGAACTCTTGCCAATAACAGAAGAAATGTGTGGTTTGCAGAATTTTGGGAGGAGAATTTTGGATGCAAGTTAGGATCCCATGGAAAAAGGAACAGTCATATAAAGAAATGCACAGGTATTCACTTAAACATTTTTCATGGTGCACCTGTCATAGCATTACATTAACTTTTTCTATCTGAATAATGATACAACTCTCTTTTTATTTTCTTGGTGTCTCTTGCCACACTTTCTCAGCACAGCTGAGAATACACTGATCTTTCAATGAACTTAAGTTTGCTCATTGGTTCTTAGAGTTTATCAACAAATATGTATTGAATGTACACCATATGTCCAGCTCTGGGCTACTTCAATTCCATATGAGTAACACTTATTGAGTATCTACTTTGGGATAAGCATTCTCTTAGTTTTAATGGGATAAACAAGATATGGTCTTGCTCTCCAGGAGTTTAAAATATAGTGAGGATGGCAGATCTTAAGTTGCTTTAAGATACTGTTTTTCAACTTCAATTCATGCCCTCTGCAATAATTTTATTTTCCATCCTAGCGAAGTGGCTGTCCTGAAGCAGTTATGGTTTTTGATGCTTTACTTTCTATAGCTTGTACTTATAATAAGGCTATTGAATGTGTACTTTTGAATGTGAGAAAAAAAATCTTATTTGAAAGTAACATGATTGTGTACATAGAAACAATTATGGTATTTAAAAAAGTTAGGATCACTATGAGAAACAGTGACTTGATCAGCTCTTGACCTGACTGTTGATGTACAATGTAATACTTTATCCATTTTAGTATTTTTTTTTGTTCTAGTACTATTGGTTGAACTCTGTAATTAACACACAATTATTCTTAGGTGTCTAAATTTTAATTGAAAAGTGATCCCTGTTAAATATAAGAGTGGGAATAAGAGAGGGAGGAGATGTACAATTTGGGACATGCTCAAGCGGACTTGCCCCAAATAGTGGAGTTAGAAATGTGTCAGGGGATTCCACTACAATCCCATCAAGGTGGCATGTACCAATGCCATCTCACTAGTCCAAGTGATCAATTTCAGTTCACAGTTGATCACACTGATAAGTCTAAGAGTCAAAGCAATCACACAAACACGACTAGTGTCTGCTAATATTAACTGATAGAATCAAAAAGGGAGAGAATGGAAAGCGGGATACACAGCAGACTCATAGAATGGCAGATGTCCTAAACAGCACTCTGGCCTCAGAATCAGCCCTTAAGGCATTTGGATATGGCTGAAGAGCCCATGAGAGTATTTTAGGCATGGAAAGCCAAGACACTCTGGGGGGAAAAAAAAAAAAAAAAAAGAAGAAGCCCTATATGAAAGATCTCTGTGAGTGAGATCCCAGTGGAAAGCACGGGGCCATCAAAGAAGGAGGTATCTTTCTCTGAAGGGAGGAGAGAACTTCCACTTTGACTATGACCCTGTCTGAATAAGATAGAAGTCGGCGAACCCAAAAGGCTTCCATAGCCTTGGCAACTCATGACTAGAGCCTGGGAAGATTACTGACACCATAAACAAGAGTGTCAACTTGTTAAGTCTACAACAGGAGTCACTGTGTACTTATTCCTCATGTAGGATCTGTCCTTAATGTGTTGTCCAATGTGAAGTAATGCTATAACTAGTATTGAAACAGTATTTTACACTTTGTGTTTCTGTGTGGGTGCAAACTGATGAAACCTTTACTTAATATATACTGAATTGATCTTCTGTATATAAAGATAATTGAAAATGAATCTTGATGTGAATGGAATGGGAGAGGGAGCGGGAGATGGGAGGGGTGCGAGTGGGAGGGAAATTATGGGGGGGGAGCCATTGTAATCCATAAAGAGTACTTTGGAAATTTATATTTACTAAATAAAAAAAGAAGCAAAAAAAATGATCAAATGATCAAATAGTAAATTTAACAAGGTATCAGATATGAGGTTAATATAAATATCCATTTTTGGTATATATTGGGAGCAAAGCATGAAAACTGGAATTTAGAGAATACTTATATAGCAGGGTCAAAAATATAAAACAATAGAGAGAATTTTAACAAAGATATATACATCCTCTATCCCGAAAACTACAAAAAGTGAACGTGAGTATTATAAACCGATCAATCCCTTGCCTGCTCCTCCTCCCATATTTTGATTTGCTTTCCTTTTGCTCTACCTTATTTCCTTTATAAAATAGGCCATACATTTTTAAAAATAGAAGATGCAATATGATAAATGCTAGGGTAGATCAAGCAACACAGAGAAGATGAGGGTGTGAAAACAGGTATCACTCTGTGGCACAGACTTACGGCTTTCTGTGTCAGGTGCCATTCCAGAAGCTGGAGTGAGTGGTGAGAGACATGGCCATATTGAAAGGACTGGCATTCTAGTGTCAAGGGACAGGCACTAAATACATAGGCATATAAATGTACATAAACTTCCAGATGCTGAGGTGTGCTTAGGAGAAACATACAGAGTATGTGTTAAGGGCAGTATTGGGAGGGAGAGCAGCAGTTGAGTGTGTTGTCCAGGCATGCTTTGCTGATGACGTGATGTTTGACATGAGACTTGAATGACAAGTTTTCAGCCATGGAAAGATATAACACTTTTGAGGACTGAGGACCAGAATGGGAGGAAAAAAACTTCAGGGAGCCTGGAGTGGGAGTCTCATGATTGCAAGAAAGATCAATTGCAGATAAGGCTACAGAAATATGTTGGATTCAAGGGATGCACAGCCTTGAGTTGTTTCAGGAGTCCTGGAGTTGAGGAATAAGGGCTTTATACTAACTGGGACAGAATGACTTATTTCCTCTAGTCAGTTGGTGAGATACCCATTTCCAGAAGATACTCTGGCCAATGTGTGAGGGGTATTCAGGACTTATCTAGTAGTCCTGCTGGAGAGCAGTCTTGGTCTAAATAGGTGGGAGCAAGATATGGGTAGGGTGCACAGCATAGATACTCCAGCAGGTTGTGTTTGTAGTAGCTGTTGAGTGAGTAACCCTGCAGAAGGGGTGGTAAATGATGGAGATTCTGAATGTTAAATGTGTGGCAGGGGGTCTAGGATAGCGGTGATAAACTTACTTAACAGAGAACAGCAGAGGTGGGTGTTTGGGAACTAGCTTGAATTCAGTTCTGAGATGGCCCCATGGACCTGCCCAGCAGGTGGCAGCATAAGGTTGGAACCCCACAGAGTTCAGTAAAATTTCAAATGATGGAGTCAGAGACTTGGAAGGTGAAGGCAAGGACAGAGGGACCACTGCCTTAAGAGAGTGAGAAAAGATGAGGAGTGATGACAGAAGACTCGAAGGGAAACTGAGAATAGTGGACTAGGAAAAGGGGGTCAAAGAGAGATGTGGGGGTGTGCCCTGGTGGGGTGTGGCGGAGGGAAAAGCAGTATGATTGTGACCCAACCTCAGGGGCTTGAGGGAGAACAGAATAGAGGAAATGGAGGACAGGGTAATGTTCAAGATATTTGGCAAAGAAAGAAAGTAGGTGTAGTCGCAGAGCCTGAGAAAGAATCAGGAGAGGAGAAGAATCCTTTAGGGCAGGGCACGTTTTAGCTTGTGTTCTGTTCAAAGGGAAGGAATAACTGGAGAAGAGAGGTTAAACCAGGAGTGGAATCTCAACAGAAGCCTTACAGTGAGGACTTGAGAGCCGTGCTGCTTTTAGATAATGCAAGTTCGCTGGGGGGAAAAGACACACACAAACATAGATATAATCAGAGGGTGAATTTCCATGATGAAATGCTAAATTTGGACACACGCAGTGTAGTGTTTCAGAAGATGAATGGCTTTAAGTTCGAGTTGTAAAATCCAGAGCTTTGTGGAGGAGGTATTTGATAACGAGGCATTTGGGAGAGAACATCTAAGATTGGAGAAAAGAAAGGATATCAGAACAAAGGCACAGAGCAGGGTGTGGCATGGAAGCGTGAACAACTGGAAGAGGCTCCGCTTTGGGAGAAGAGGTCCATGTGAAGGAATAATGAGAAAGAGAGGCCAGGTTATAGGAAGTTTTGAGAGTTTATACACAGAGGAACTTAAGGTTTCCACTGAGATATATTTTATATGGGGTTTAATTCAGAGTTTAGAATATTAATTGTTTGGTCCTCTGAAAATTCAAAGTTGTTGAGTTTAGGTTATATCAATGAAACATTATCAGCTAAAAATTATCTATAGTAAATATGAAATATATAATAAAACTGGTAGGATAGTAGTTATTAACTGATCATATAACTTTTGAGCAGACTCTTTTCAGGCTAGTTTTTCTAAACTCATATTTTTGAAGTATGTTAATGTGTGTTATTGTCCCTTTTGCATCTGTGGATGGTATAAGAGGCTTATACAGGATACTTATTTCAGGCATAAACACTGCACTGGCTTGCTGTAGAATCCAGATTTGGTAGCTTCAGATTCCTTTGCTTTATTTGGGTGCTGCTGTAATGGTAACAATTTGTCCAATTAGAACTATTTCTAGTGCAATGAAAATAGTATTTACTCCAAGTGCTAGGGCAAATGCACCCTTAGGGAACTGGGTCAGAAAACAGATTTTCATGCAAATTCCAGTGTGGGTAATACCAAAATAACTTGTCTCTGGGTAGGAAACAAATAGATAATGAAATGTTCTCCCTTATTTTTTTCAATAAACCAGAACTTCTGGAAGTTGCTAGGTAATGGGATAAGATACTTGTGCCTCAAATTAACAAGGATACTCAGATTTCACCTTTGTTTTAGGAGAAAAAGGTAGCATGTTTATGATCAAGTAAACTTAAGAGGGAAACTTAGCAGGAAATTCAAGAGTAGAGGTTTCCAGAGTTTGAGAAAGCCTTGAAAATTTGACCTTTAAAAGTTCACGTTGTAACCACCTATGATGAGTCAGAAAAAAAACCTGTAGGATCTCTGAAAGCAGGATACCTGTAAGGTACTGTTTTCTGCCTGTAAACCATCGTGTGTGGGGTATATGATTGAGTGGAGTGCAGTTTCCCATATGGTGTTGTAATCTGTGGACATAAGTATTTGTTTCCATTGGCAGTGATATTGACAATATATTTACATGGGTAAGAGAGTGCTTCCCAACAGGTTGGGGCTTCTGTCGTATTAATTTTCAGGAGACAGAACATCTCAAAGC